CCTCGCCATGCCGCCGCCGACGAGTACTACAGCACCTGGTACGAGATCACAGAGCGCATCCAGTACATCCCCGGCCTGGGAAAGATAGGCTCTGGAAAGCTCACGTTTAATGGATGCTTCCACGATATGCCGTGGGGTATGCAGTCCCATATTTATATCCCGCTCGGTATCGACATGCGAAACAAGTACCGCATTATGGGGAACCAGCCGGGCATTGAGCCGCCGGAGCAGCCTGAGCTTGGACTTGAGCAGCTTGGTGCGCCGAAGGAGGGGCTTTATCTTCGCACTGATGTCGAGCTCAAGTGTAACATTACCCTGATGGGTTTCGTCAAGGCGGAGTCGAGAAAGGCCAGTGTTGATATGGTTAACCGCATGGTTAAGAAGGCCGAGTTGCTTGATGCTGGTCTTTTGAAGGCCATGTTTGAGGATGGAAAGCTCAAGACTTATAACCCTAATGATCGATCGGAGGCGAGTCAGGCGAGACAACAGGCTTTGAGACAGCAGACCATGCCTGAGGGTCAGTTCGCTGCTGCTGCTCCGCCTGGACCTGGACCCATGAGCCCGGGTCCTTCTTACGCTCAGCCCTACGCATATGCTCAACAGCAACAACAACCTCATCTTCAACCCCAACCCTCACCAACATACCCCTACGCCCGTCCCGACGCCACCAACTCCCAATATCCACAAAGCCCATACGGCTACCATCCAGGCCAAACGCCTCCCCCCAACGCCCAGTACCAACAACAAGCACCACCCGTGCCACCAAAAACCAACATCCAGAGCTTTCCCATGGAACTCCCCGGCGATTACTACCACCCACAGCAATCACCAAACCTGCAACAACAGCCTAGTCCTGGACACCCACCCAGCAACTATCGCAATTCTACGGGTTCGTATGACCCACGATGGTCGCAGTCTAGCCCATCGGCTGCTGATTCGCACCGAGCGAGTATGTATTCGCAGCACTCGGCGGGATATCCGTCGCCGGCGCCTGCACAGCAGAGTTTTGCGGCAGAGTTACCGTCGCATAATGAGACGTCGGAGGAGCATAGGCATTGAGGGATGGGATCTGGGTAAAAAAGCAGCCAGTCATTTTAGTGATGATACATGGGATGGCATTTTGTTTGGGATGATTTCAATGTCGATACCTTTGCTAGTGAGTCAACGATGAGTGGCAGAGAATATTTGAGAGAACAAAGCTATGTGTTTGGGTCTGTTGATGCCGAGGGTGTTTATGATACCATTTTGGATAATATTGAAGGATTTGCTATTGACACAATGGCTTGCGTGAGGTTTATAGGTGACATGTCTCAATATCTCCATTCAAATGGCCTTTCCGGCTGGCGTCGAAATAAAGTGATCGACATTGAGCTTCCGTTACGACGCCAAACTATTATTCTAGAGCTAGTTCAATATTCTCGGATACATTTGCGAAACGCGGCATTCGGGTTGTTGCCGGCGAGATAAGTCTGTCTATTTTCAGCCTTGTCGTGATCCAAGCACCTCTGTCCTCGTCTCGCAGCACTCGACATTTACCATTCTCAGCGTCCCACGCATCTTTCACTTGACATGCATATTTATATTCCAACGAACGTTGACTTGACTCATGGAGAGATGCCAAAAGCGGATGTTTGTTAAGGATGCTCAAGGGAGTGAAGATGGTGAGCACTTGGAGAGAGGGAGAAAGAATGATCGACTTGGTGTTCATACAAGACCAATCGCAGTAGCGACCTACCTATCTCTTCCCACACATCTCCCAGTAATGGAAGGCTTTGGTTGAAGCGTGTTGCTCAAACAGAGATCAAGGCTCCTTCTAGATCTGTAAACCTCCTACCTACTAATACCTGGTCGGCTGTGCCTACCTACGACTAAAACAGGAGATGGGGGTACGATGTCTTCCTTTTCTACCTCTCCATTACCTTAGGTTAGTGGTAGTTTATAAATCTGCATCTAACATCTCTGTCTCTGCATTCATCCAACATTCTTTCATCATCGATCCATACATCATCAGTCACTTCCAGTCACAATCCAATCAAAATGGCCAACAATGCAGGACCGCAGAATATCGGTAATCCTTTCTATACACTCAACGTCTCTCCCATCAACGTCTCGCCGGTTCTTCTCTCAGAACTAAACAAACACAAATACCTACCCAAAGTAGTCTACTTCTGGACCGACGATGACAAAGAAGAATTTGAACTAAAACCAGTGCGACTAAGATCCAACTTGACCCCCAAAGAAACCGGACTGACAGTTGCAGGTCAACGAGGCCCGTAAACCTATCACCGTCCACAAGAGATCCCACTATCAAGAACCCCCCTGCATTCCAGGAGAGTACAGGGAGGTTTCTTTACTGCAAAAGCACCCCAGTCACCCGCTTGCGGTCGTATTACAGGCCATGAAAGCTGCTAATCCTGACTGGACATGTGGTCATGTCGACATCATCGCCCAAAGCGATCTTTTAAACCGTATATACTTGTGGATCAGTGGTGCTCAGACCTCGAGCTTCGTAATCGACGCGTCCGTGGTCAGTGATACGCTTTGTATCACACTCTCTAAGGACGAGGAACCCTCTAGCGGCAGTCAAGAGGATGAATCACCATCGCCGTCGCCAACCACCATCGGACAACATCAAATTCTGGAATACTCATTTGGAGGTCTCAACTTACTCGTCACCTCCCCTGGCCACCTTGTCCGCTTTGCCCAGTCAAACAAAGTGTGCTTTGCACGAATACTCCAAACCGGCGTTGGGTCCCCCCCTGACTGGCCTAATGTAACCCCTCTGTTATGGTTCGACGGAATCTGCACATGCGTGTCTGGCTCTGTTTCCGATGGAGTTTTCAAACAAGATAAACAGTGGTACGTTACCAGGAAGCTACGATATTGGCAGAATGACGAACCAACGCGAAAGCATATGCAGACCATGGCTTGGCTCCTCAATCACGTACAAATGATCACCTCGTGGGAGATGTTTTCCGGATCAAGTTCGATTCACTTCAAGGTCAATGACGGTCCTAAACGGTTAGAGTTCTATGCTGCGTCGCGGGCACAGAAGTTGCCTACTTTGTTTGGGGAGTTTTGGGATTATTCCTAGGGACCTTCTGGGGAGACGGAGCGTTGTGTTATTTATAATAGGTAAAGCGATTTTAGGTGTAGCGATTAACTAGAATTCACTCAGTCGTGCGCCGACTTTGCTATCTTTGCCTCTGATATCACTCTATCCATGAAGGCAATTGGGTCAACCCTCTCATCTCCTCAACAGTCTCGTCCCACAACAATTTCCTAATCCTCAACCCTTCCTCTGACGGTACAAAATCACCCAACTCCGTAACCTCCTTATCCCCCAATAACTGTCCATGCGTTTCTTCGCCCACCACAAGCGCAGCATGTAACCCGATCCATCCCGCCTTGTCAACCGATCTTGCACGCAGAGCTTTGAGCATCAGTGCTGGAAGGCGGATGCAAATGGGCAGAATATCCGTCAAAGATGTATCGACCATCCCGGGGCAGAAGTGGTTGATAATGACTTTCTTGGGAGGGTAGCGAGTCGCAAGTTCGTGTTGGAAGAGAAGAACAAGGAGCTTTGTGTCGCCGTAGCGAGTCAGAGAGGGGATGACGCCCGGTGCGTCAAAGTGCTCAAATATGCCTTCGTCTTTCTTTAGGGGGGCTTTGCTGGCGAGGCTTGTTTGCCAATGCATGCGACTTCCCGTCCATGTAATGCGTGTAAGTGCCCCCTCAAGCTCAGCGGTATGTTCAAGAGCAGGCAAAAGAAGTAAAGTCAAGAGGACATTAGACAGGTAGTTAACCTGGAAGTTCTTCTCATGCCCCGTAGGCGCAAGTTCAAAATTGATATCACTTATCCCAGCGTTCAACATAAGTAAGTGAAGTTTTCCGTGCTTGCTCTTGAACGTCTCAGCGAAGGCTTTCACACTAGCGTAGTCCGTCATGTCGAGCTTCATCACTTGGACAACAGCTTTAGGGTTGCTGACAGCAAGCGAGCTCCTGACTTCTTCGCCCTTGGAGACATTTCTGACCGCAAGGATTAGGGTTGATAGATTGAGATTGAGGAGTTGGTGGGAGAGTTCTAGGCCGATGCCGGCTGTTGCGCCTGTGACGATGGCTGTTTTGTTGGTGAGGTCGATACCAGGAGGCAGAGGTTCGACTTTGGGCTGTCGGAGAGGCATTTTGAGATCAAAGAATGTTCTGAAGCTATTAAGCAAATCAGTGGATCGGTAGTAGAAGGAAACGCTGGTCTTGATCATCATTTCTCCTTGGGTTATGTAGTGAAGTGCTTCTTATATCAACATCTCAAACCATCCCCAGCGATGCATCAATCCCTATTACAAATCCTTCATCTCTACAGTTCACTATGACTGACAAATTCATACTGAATGGGCTAATTTCTGGTGTGCAAAGTCGCCGAAAAATGTTGTTGAATCCCGACTCCACCAAAGTCCGCACTGACGAACTCCGTCCGTAGGGCTGAGACTTAACCCGCCAGCAACGATCCGAATGCCGGACTCTGTGAATCTGTCCGAAAACCTACAACATACTCCAAATTTAATGGTTTAGCATGATTATTGGAAGCCGAATCTCGGTCACTTTTGAATTCATGATTCTCATTTGACATAATAAAAGTTTTAGGTAAATTCAGTCAAATTTAACCCGCTCTTGTTAGCATCCCCTCTCAGAGTGAAAAGTTTCCTTGGTCTCTCACGGAAGTCTCGGGAACTTCTCCCATACAAAACCTCACAGTCGTTGGTTATACACAGTCGAGGAAATCACCAGGCCTAGATTTCACTAGTCTAATCCTACACGTAGCTTAGTTTCCAGGGTCTGGGGTCTTCAGCTGTGTTGAAGTGAATGGATTGAGTCCCTATTTGACCGGACATAAACGTGCATCTAATAGTCTCTTCGCTCACGGGGTTTGTTGGTTACGTTGCTGTTGGCTTGGCACTTATACCTCAGTGTAACAACCGATGTCATCTGCCATACCAAATATGGCGCGAAGAGTGTCGCTTCGAATGAAGTCCCGCGGTCTACTATGCCGTGAAGAATCAGATCATAGTTATTAAGAAGGTCATTCGGAAAGTCAATGTTGTTGTTGTACCCAAGGCAAAGACTGTGATCAAGGTAACAACAACAAATGTTGATTCAGATGTCGAAACTGCTACTGAGACCGAGACTGGTGAGTTCATGGAAGTAGAAGCGAGTGATTTGAGTGGTGCTGATGGTTTAGATATACAAACCACGAATCGTGTTATGCTGCTCGCACGAACCTCGACATCGGTGTCTTCAACAACCACGACAAAGTACACCACCAGCACAATTCTCGCACCATCTGGCTTCGTACCCATCAAACAAGTCCAAGGCTACATCGCCAGATTTAAAGCCCGAGGTCCCGTACCTAGAGCTACCACCGCATATCTCCAGCGCATCGACTGCACCAAGAAGATTCCTTCTACGACGACCAAGACTGTAACTACTGCGGTCGAGGGAGCTAGAATCACTCTCAAGCCTAAGACTGTTACGAAGAAGACGACGAGTTTTATGACTATCACGATGACGGAATATGGACCTCAGGTCACGGAGACGGAGACGGAGACTGTTACTGACTTGGGGGGGTAACCTTGCTCAGAGGATTCAGACTCAGATAATTCCCCAGACTGGTAAGGACGCTATTTTACTCCATAGTATTGATGCTAATAAGTCTAGTCACCGTTGAATCCATCGTCCCTGCGAGCCCCTTCTACGCCGCATGCTCCTCCAACAATCTCGCCAGCACGGCCAACGGCGGCAAGAGAATCGCCGACTTTGACGCTTGGGTAGTCAACAGGCCCATTTACATCTCTAGTCTTACCAGCGCTTATGCATGCTGTGTTGAATGCCAGAAGAAACAGAATTGCTTGATGAGTCGGTCAAGTGCTGGTGGCTCCTCGTGCTGGTTGTACTTGACGCCTAGTGATGATGCTTGTTCAGCGCAGATCAACTGGTTGACGTATCACACTGACAGTGGTGTTAGTGTGGAATGGACTTATAGTAATGGACCTTGTGGGAGGGCTGTTAATGGGCGGAAGTCATGGTCATCGCATTGGTGTTGAGCATGGCTTCTATATCATAGCCAGATTGAAGAGGTTCACACAACAAAGTAGCACAAAAGAGAACATAAATTATATAGATAAATAACGAAGATGAGAATGGAACCATCAGATCAACCCGTCGTAGTACCATCACAGTCATTTGGTGTGACTACTCAATAAGAACCTGCTTCTCCTTCTTCAGACTCTCAACAAAGCTAATCGACACATTGAGAGTCTGAGCGACAACATCAGGGGGCGTCAAAGCAAGCCACTGAGTCAAAGAGATGTCGGCAACGCGATCAGACTTGTAGACCTCAATCCAGATGAGATCCTCATCTTCCGAGGTATTCTCAATATAGTGCCTACTCAACATTAGTATCATCTTCACATACAGGCACGAACGAGAAACTTACCCAGAGTTATCAGGAAACGCAGCAGTATCACCCGCCGAAAAGTCAAAAGTCCTCGCCGCCGCATTCCCAATAAACACCGTCGCCCTCGCCTTACCCTGGTGAAAATACAGCCACTCCTCCGCATTAGGGTGCCAATGCAACTCCCTCAAACCGCCCGGCTTAAGCGTGACAAAGGTAGCAGCGAGAGTCTTTGAAGCAGGGAAATTGGTTGAATCAATCTTCCAGAAGTTACCGCCCGTGCCGCCAATCTTTTCAGGGTCGTGCTGGAATGTGCGGTACACGAAGGAGCTGTTTCCTGAGAGTTTGCCGGCGGGACCGTCGGTGACGTTGTGCTTGGTGGGTGTGCCGGGGAGGATGTAGGGGTTGGGGGCTGTGACGTTTTCGAAGACGGAGGCGTTGACGCCGAAGTTCTTGGCGAGGATGGACTTGGGGGTGTGGTTGATCCAGTCGTCGACCATGAAGGTGGTGCTGGCTTGTATTAGTGGTGTTGTGTGATGGATGGGTGTAGGCGACTTACCCGATTTTGTCAAAGTCGGCTTCGTCAAAGACTAGGAGATACTCGTTCTCATCGGCGAGACCTTGGACGGTATGAGCTGCACCTTTGGGGAAGTACCAGATGTCACCATAGTTGAGGACTTCTTCCTGATACCGCCCAAATTCATCAACGGCAGAGATGAGGACGGAGCCGTTGTACACAATGCCCCATTCAGCCTGCTGAATCAGTATTTGGTGATCGATAGGGAAGTGCTAGACTTACGACTTTATGCCAGTGAAGTTCTCGAATAGCTCCCTTGACGAGATGCTGCTGAGCACCAGAGATGTCATGGCTGGAGGGCAGATCTTGGATGACCTGTTCACGAACCCAACCACCCTTCAAGAGACGAGTCTTGGAGTCGGAGAAACTCCATTTGAGATTGGGAACAACGCCGTTGTCAGTGGGTTGCTGGCCAAGGTTGTCTGGGTTCTGGAGGTCAAGCTCCTTGTTTGTGCCGCCTGGTCACTGTGTAAGTACGTGATAATAGTAAGAGAGCATCGAATACTTGTAGCTTACCTAGAAGAACAGCACCTTTGCCCTTTCCATCATAAGGCTGGCCTTTGTCAAAGCCCGGTTGCTGTGTGTCTTTTGGAGCTGCAGTAACGATGTTGGAGCCAAGGCATAGAGCCAAGGCAGAAGAGAAGAGCGAAGCGCCCTTCATGATGGTGATAAAGGAGGACCCAAAGACGAATAAGCTGAGGAAGGGGAGTGATGAGGATGGATGAAGAAGGTGGAAAGATAAGAACTTCTGTCTCACCAGCGACGTCTTATACTCTCAACACCACAAGGTTCATCACGACATCATGCATACAGACACATTCAACAAACTGGGAAATTACGAGAGGCGTAGCTGAATGGCAATCACACCCTAGACACTTACACAAATGACACTACGGCAAGTCACACTGCCTGAAAGAAACAGTGATCGGCATAGCTGCATGAGGCTACCAAGGAAATTACTGTACGAATTATGAGTGTGAATGGCGTTTGCTTACCCTGAACACGACCATTTGATGACTCAAAACACATCAAGTAATTGCTCTGGTATAACTGCAATTATGAATTCTGAGATCTCATCTGGATAAAGCATTGAATCTCGTGAATATTTGAAGCGAATTAATTCTGTAAATCTTTTCTCGTTCAAAACTCAAGTTGCTGTTTGAACGATGCCTTGATCTTTGTTCAGTGTAACAATCTACCGCACGCACCCATCACAGCCAAGCGCTGCGATGATCGACAATCCGCCTGCCAAGACGGATATAAGCGCGATAGCGGGCCAGGATTAATGCAGATCTGGGGTTGACGACATAATTAGTGGATTTAACGTGATCGATCCGTCTTGTTTTAGTGCGGCTCAACGTGGGTTTGGACGAACCAGGGCCCCACGCTATAAGCATACATTTATGGTAATTGATAGTGTATTTGCCGGGTTTCAGCCTGTTCCTGATTATCGCGATCGAAGCATTCTTGTGACTTGATGTCTCTGGTATTGATACACTTATTGACTATACACAAAAAGGCCAAGTAGTTTAGTAATATCGGGGTTTTCCCCTGTGGTTTATGGGTTTCGCAGCTCGGAATGGCTCGCCACGGCCCCTCGGCGTGGATGCTCGCAGCCTTACAAGGATCATACTCGCAATCCAGACTAACAAGACGTCTTCCCAGCCAGTCAAAGCACTCTGAAGATCTCCCACAGATGTAGCCTAGTGGGAAACAATTTGTATAAGTCATTTCCCAAAGGAGATGTTTAGTCTGTTGCCCCCACCGGTATTTCCAACTGCCGGGGATTCGTGTCAGGGGTAGCTGGGCGCGCCCGAGCTAATGGGTCAAGGCTGATGTTGATTGCCTTATGGATAATTCCGCGGTATGGTATTGTAAGTGCAAGGCTGTCTCAGTGGGGATGGTTAATACCACGCGATACTGATGTCATTCGTTAGAGCTGTTGATCCAAATATCCCGGATATGTGGGATGGGACTGTGTAGGAACCTTATCTCGGGTAAGCTTGAACTCAATGGGTGGAAATACGTGCAAAGCATTTGCAACTTCATCTCAACATCGCCTGTAACCTGAAGAAAGAGAATTGAGTAGTGTTTGGAGTTGTTCTGGTGATGCGTCGCTGCCTGATCCCATCAGTGACCCCTGTGTTGGGAGTAGCTGCTCTCGACCGAAGCAACAAACATCCAACAATAGTAGACCATGCCAATAATCCAAATAGGCGTGATCAAGAACCTTAGCCATGCAGGTCTCAGCTCAAAGTAACCCTAAGAGAATGCAATGCTCCCAACCGGGTAAGTGAGCGACTCAGCTATGCCAGATTGACAACCATCAGGGACATCACCGACAACCCACCACTGCCATCCCACGGACGATCGGGAGGTCGGTAATTCAGTCCAAGAAGTCCGAGAGCATGGATGGATGCTTTCTGGCTAGACTTTTGTAGATCAGTCTTGTAGTCACCGGGTAGTTCAGTTCCGTTCTACGTTTGTATGTCCTCCTTGCCAGCACATCAACCAAACTAGACCAGAGCAGTCAAGGCTGAGGAGGAAAATGTCCTGAGAAGGAAATTGTGATAGCCGTGGCAGAAGAAAACTCATCATGAGGTTCAATTGTGTCTTTGTGAGGCTTGATGATACAATTTTTGAGAGTGAAGTCGTGAATGTTGGTGGATGTTGGACTTGGGAAGAACCTGATGACTCGAGGAAGTTGTTACAAGGCAGGACCAAGATGGGTATATAACACCTTGGAAACTCCCTCAAACTTTCTCATCATCAGCTCACACCATCAACTTGCTCACATCCCATCAGCATCACTGAGCTTCCTCCACAATGCCCTCTCTCATCTCCATCACGGCCCTTCTCGGTGCCCTGGCCTCTCAAGTCTCGGCATCACCCGCCAACATCGCCAAAAGGGGTCTCAGTCTCCCTCCTCTGATCCCCAAGATCCCAGGAGTGACCGAGCCTCTTGCTGACAACGCTCCTCCCCTGCCTATTCTCCAGCTCCCTACTCCTCCGTTGGATAGCCCCCCTTTCAAGGTCTCCAACATCAAGCCCAAGAAGATTGGATACTTCTGGACTGGTGCTGGTGACAACAAGCATGCTGATTTCTTGGTCACTGCTAGTCTCGATGATGTAAGTTTGCTGAGTTTACAATGGGAAATGTACTAACAGACTAGGACACCTTTGGTGAAATCATCGACATCACTGATGTCAACACCAGTGGTAACTCACCTCACCATCTAGGCAGCTCCCTTGATGGAAAGACCCTCGTTGGAGGCGGTCTTCTCTCTCTTCTCAAGACCCAAGACACTGCTTTCTACTTCGACACTTCGGACCCATACCATCCCAAGTTCGACCACAGCAACCGCGGTATTCTCGGCTCCATCGTCGATGAGATCCGCGCCAAGCCCGACGGTGGTTTCTTCATCACTTACATGGGTAGTGCTGTCGGTACATCTCCCGGCCGCCTGATCGAGACTGATGCCAATGGTAACATCATCCATGAGTGGCCTGAGGATGTTGAGGGTACTCTTAACATTCTTGGAGAGCAGTTCTCTCCTCATGGATTGAGTGTGGACTTTGACAAGAACATTATTCTTACTTCTGACTTTGTTGTTCCGATTACGATTCTGAAGCCGACTCTTGGTATTAAGAAGGCTGATACACTTCGACTTTGGGATCTCAAGTCTCGCAAGATTATCTCTACTATCACTATTCCTAACGTGAGTTGCCCGAGTCAAGACGGGAATACAGCTAACAGGCGCAGGGTCAAGGTATCCAGGATGTCAAGTTCATTCCCGGTAACAAGGAGAGTGCCGCTCTAGCTACGTAAGTCTCTAAACGCTCAACACTCTTCAACAAATACTGACTCACTTCTACAGAGCTGTTGGCCCCGGACAAGTCTGGATCATCTACCCCTTCCGCAAAGACTCCAAGGGCAACCAGGGAGTCGCCGAACTCCTCTACGACCTCGGCGACAAGGCCAAGGACTCTCTCGCCATCTACTCCGACATCACCGACGACGGAAAGTTCGCCTACTTCACCATCACGCTCGGCAACCACATAGCCGCTCTCGACATCTCTGACCTCGACAACGTCAAGCGTCTTGATGATCCTGATGAGGAGCAGCCCATCATTGGACCTCACTATGTCAAGATCTCTCCTGATAAGAAGAACCTCCTCGTTACCGGCTACTTTGTTCAGGCTGGAGATGTAAGTTCTTGTTTCCGTGCTCTTTGATGAATTTGTGCTGACTCTTACAGATTTCTATTGTCAATACTCCTGGTGATTACAAGGGTCACTGGATTGACATCAACGATGATGGATCGCTTAGCTTCAACCGCACCATTGACTTTGAGAAGATCTTTACCAAGACTCGTGGTGGTGCGCGACCACACAGTGCTGTCATCTTTGATCTCACTGATCCTAAGAACCCTATCTATTACTAGGGAAAGAAATAGCCTGGTGGCTTTGGGGGTGGTCATTCAAGAGTGGTATGATCTATTGGACTTGATGAATCTTGGTAGGATGATGGATTGGGTGCTTGTCGCTTCTTCGTACCTCTATGAGGCTTTTATTCAGGGATATACTTCCTGCCTACTTACATATACTTGTCAATTGATTTCTTAAGTAATTAAGTTTTTCATCTGTTGGATTGTCCCGAGCGAGACCTTTAGACGCTGGATCGGAAGATTGGCCACTATTCCTTTTGACTAAACCAACACCTCCACTGTAAGGTAGTGGAGACCCATACCATGCACCGCTGTGAATAAGTGTGGACGGCCGCAGGAATAGGCCATGATCGGCCACCTCAAGCCCCCAGCCCGAGTGCAACCCGGCCTATTGAGTGAGTGCAGCCAACAACTTACAGGGATAGAAGCGTTGGCCACTGTTTGTTTTAAGCGCTCACCTGCCTGCTAGGCTATGCGTCACCCATTCAACTATTTCTTCCATGTCCCTTGAGCCACTTTGACAATCATACTACAACATGTCAACTTCAAGTTCTCAACAAGCAGCATCTCTGGAGATATTGCCTCCAGAGATCTTAATTCCCATCGCAACACGCCTTCCAGGGCTCGACATTCTCTGGGATCTGATGACGGCGTCCCCTCACGTCTGGCGTCTTTTCAGCGACCATGCCATCACAATCGTCGAATGCATCCTCTCAGGCCCCGATGCAATAATACCGCCCGAGATTGCAGAGCTCATACGCGCTGTCATCCTCGTACGCACCCGAGCAGTTCCTTTTGAGAATCTGCCTGAGTTCCAGGGCCGGTTCTTACGCAAAGTCGGACGCAAGTGGAAGGGTAGCAACATGGAAGCCCCTCCAAGACCATCTCCCGATGAAAAGCTGAGCCCTGGATGCCTGTCAACTGCGATGCCCTCTGTCGAAGTTCTTCGATCGGTTGTCGCAACCACTCACCAGATATCTGCCCTTTCGCAAGCATGCTTGATCTCGTTCCTTGACCGTTTGAGGGATCCTAGCTTCAGACCTCTGCACCTTACCAATCCTGAAGACCGGTACGATCGTCATCATAGACGAGGACCAAATGGTGAATACATCGAAGCCTGGGATCAAGTCTTCACTGGAGAACCTGTTAGTGTGGTTGATGTAGGCCAGCCTACGTGGGTAGAAGAGATGCGAGTTGTGCGTGCTCTATGGTATATACAGCTCGTGGGTGAAATGCATCGCCAGGTAGACAGTCTAGAGTGGCCGGCTCAGGAAATTGAGGGACTGAAAGATATGAGGCCCGGCGACGATCGCCATAACCTTGGAAGCCCATATCCTCTGTCACCCGAAGAAGTCAGGTCTGTCATGGGATATCTGGCAACCCTTGGGAAGGCGAAGCAAGATCTGTTCTACCGACTACCACGTCCTCCTCATCGAAAGATATGGACTACAGCTTTGCCCGTTCGGCGTGAACGATACATGGAAATCGCGGGATACCGGGAGGGTGGCAGCCCTATCAAGCGGAGCAAGTTTACCGAAGATCGGCTTTGGGGTCGGACCCCAGTGGCACTGGATGGAGACGCCCCTGGAATATCAATCTTTGAACGCTTGACCAACCCTCCCCCTCACCCTATCAGCGCATCTCCCCTGGAAGGTATCAAGTTCGACTCATTCCGCCCATTCGGTCTCGCAATCTGGGATGCGTGGAGGATGTATAATTTGGGTCTGCACTCCTCAATACTCGAAGGCCAAAGTCGCCTGCCCCACGATGCCTTTTATTTCTTCGCTTGGGAGAGTATTCTGCCCCCTAAAGAGGTTGCAAGTGTCAAATCTAATCTTCGGGCAAGGAAGAAACGCGAGGCTGGAGGGCACCAAGCCTCGTGAGTAGAGCAAGAAAGGCTGTGTATTCAATGTTAAGCTGTGTACATAGATAAAACGATTCAACACCTGATTGTGGTGGCCCAAGTACTTGTTCAATACTACTAGTATTTGTCATTTTTAAAAGGTCGGTTCCGGTTCGGGACACAAAAATGGCTTTATCTACTTTGACTTGTTGTGCATTCTGTGCTTCAATCGGGAACAGGATATGCTATCATTTGAGTAAATTGACTTGTCCCAAGATTCTATTCTAAATGATGAGCTAGATACTTGAGAAGACGACAGAATACCCCAAAGATTCTCTCTCTTGGCTTAAAATTCCTCATAAAGATATGCCCATCAAGCTCGAGAGGCGTCAACGATATGAAACAAAAGCATAACATGCCATTCCTCTTGTTCACGGCCAACCTCAGTACCCTTAACCTCAAAGTTTCCCTCAGGAACAAATATCTCGACTTTGTTAATGGCCCTTGCCCCTCCAAGTCTATTTTTGTGGTTAATTAGCATGAAGGCTGCTCCTGATCCATTGGGGCTACCCAGGATGGCGTAAAGTTCCTTGGGGTCCTTTTGATGAGTCATGACTATTCTTTTCTTCCAAGGGCCTAAGGACTTCTTCTTGTGGTCTCTGTCATATTTGTTGAGAATGGCCTGGAATACGATCTTGAGAGTGGCGTGGTTCACAACCTGGGCGCGGATGATGTATTTCAGATCTTGGACATCTCCCGATTCAGAGCAGACTCTGTCCTGTCGTCCAGGTTAGTATACCGTCCGACTATATCGAGTTTTGCGTCTCTTACCCACTGCATCCAAACAGCATCGCTCCACTGGTAACCGAGGTTAACAACCGCAAAGCATAAAGGCCAAATTCTTACCTGTTGTATATGGGTGAGAGCTGTTGTCTCCTTGTCTATTGGAGATGCCTGTTTCGCGGCATAATTAACCCCGACGTTATGATCAGCAATGATGACCCCTGGGTTCAGAGAAAAAGAGCTCGCAAAGTTTGCTCCAGTGGCCTTTTTCGCGTCAGTAAACGTTGTCCCTTGAGATTGACAACTTTCTTCTGCGTGAAGTTGCGGACTTGACCTACAGCGACTGCTTTTACTTCAGCTTCGTCTAGGTCTAGAGAACCATCGAGAAAGCCAGCGGGATCAGAGTACCAGTCACCCCCTCCAGTATTCACCCAGTTGTAGTGGTACAAGCTGATGGGGGCTCCGATACCCTTCAATGCCTCATTCAGACGATCTCCAAATGTTGGTTTTGGGTTTGCAAGTTTATCCCAGCCTTCATAATCCTCTAAGCCGTGTTTTTGGAGATATGAAGGCGACTCTGCAGACTTTCCATTCTTAGCCTCAAGTGCTGCCTGAGTCGCCTTCATATCACAGTAGAGTGCTTCACCCTTTTTGAGAGCTATCTCATACGGATCCGTGGGTGGGTCGTCTTCCCGTTTGGAGACGTGAGAAAGGGTAGGAGAGTAGTGAAAGTCATCATCGAGGGCAACTGCACCAGGATCGGAAGAGGATAATCGGAAAGCTGGGACAAACGAGAAACGGAGGAGAAAGAGTGAGAAGATAAGGAGGGAGATTGAACTCAAGGTTAGTCTCCATGGAGTACTGCGTTTGGCATGCATCGTGGATAGTTTCATGAGAATTCAGTGAAATTGTAATAATAGAGATGACATAGGATAATTCTGATATTTGTCTGGACTGGAAATGAATACATAGTTATAGTCTAGCACGAAGATCAACACTAAATATTAAACTGAGAGACCAAAACACTTTGCAAGACTGCCTTGAGTTCAGAAGCACTCTTGGTGCCAGGGCCGAGTTCGGTGTAACTACCGTAACAGATGGGGGCGGTTGGCTGTGTTGTTCCATTGATACCATTGCGCCTTGTATTGTTGGCTGTATCTTGCCAAAATCAGGTCATGAGGCCTTTTCTGCCACTCCAAGGAAGAATCAAAGATAGCGTGGGCGTGTTGTTGGTTGTGATCCTGAGATCTTCAGCAGCGCTTCGAGTGGTGCTGTGATTGGTGGTTGCAACGACGGAGCCGGGCCGCACCACGGACCCAGGCGTTTCATATACAACGTCGGCAGTTTGTTTCGGGTCCGTGAGGTTACACTCGAGGATTCTTTATCCTGTAAGCTTAAACCAACAGCATCGGGAGTACGTCGCCTTGGGAATAGAGCCAACAGCATCATATCATCTTGTCGTAACAAGGCAGACTCTTTGCCTGCCCTCCAACCAGAGAAGCACGGCATGACTCTTGCAATGGGAATTGGTTCCTGCATGATCCGACTGCAGCCACTTCTTATTTTTGTTCTCTGCCCTGGCCCATGTCTTGGCCCCCAATGCCTGCGTTATTTACCGCGGTCTACCGCGCGGAAGGGTCAGCATCAATGGTATCATTTGCTACCACAAGCGCTCTTCTTCAAGGCGGATAAGGTCACTATTTGACCGTAGTTTGAGTAGCGAGTCACTAAAGTGAAAGCATGAGTATTGAAGGCCGTTCTCAGCAAAAGCATACCAGAGCAGTCAAATCATGCTGAAACCACAGTTATTGATGCAATCTTTGTCGTGCCATGGCCCTAATTTCGACTCATTAGAGTTGAATGCTACTCTGTGTTGGTTCAATGAAACTGATCTTCATCATCAAAGCTCCCAACGCGCTCAAGTCTTGTGGGCATTTCGGACAGGCGCAGCTCCGTCCTATCCTTGAATGATCTAATTTCGCCGTAGGATCCTCTTGCATGGATATTCTGAGGTATTTCAGAACCAACATCAAGCTCTAAGTCGTGTGGTGGATGCCATTCTCAACCAACACAAGACGCAGCCGACTTGACCACCAAGGGCACACTTGCTCACGATAACAAAAGGATCCAATCAAGAGCTGAACATGACTCACGATCGACAATTTTAGAATCCAAAGAAGAAACATCCGCCTCGTTTCTCCTGCGCCTTTCTAGTCGGTTGCCAAATATCCTGGAACCAACAACTGTTCATCAACAGCACTAATGGTGCGGAAAGATGTCTCCGAGGCGAAGTCAATGATAGTTGGGGGTCGTGGTACCTTTGGTGGAAAGACTGATAGATAGATGTGTATCTTCCCGTTATGAGGTTCAACTTATAAGAAGAAAGGACAAAGTCACTTATTTTTGTTATCAATGGTATTGTCATTCTATTTACATCAAAATACTGCAATCTATCTCTATCTCTATCTCTTGAATCGCCAATAGCACCACTCCTCATGCCGCCATTCACGCTTCAGGGCGCCATCACAGTGTTGATGGTGCTCGTAGCACTCATATCACCGCTTGCGTCAGCACTTCCAAGTCTTCGCATATTGCCTCTCGGAGACTCAATCACCAAAGGCAACGGCTCAAAAGACCAAAAGGGCTACAGAAACCGCCTCCGTGAGAAACTCATAGGTCGCGGTACTTCAGTAGACATGGTCGGTAGCTTAAAGCACCCTCCCACTGGCATGGCAGACAATGACCACGAAGGCCACAGTGGAAAGGTCCTTGCGCAGATCAATACCTACTGGAAGCTGTCCATCGCAGCACGCCCCAACCTTGTTCTTGTACATGCCGGTACAAACAACATGGACCTAGAGGTCGACCTTGAGGGCTCTCCGGACATGCTGGCGTCCATTATTGATGGGCTGTTTCAGAATGCTCCAGATACCACAGTTCTTGTTGCTCCTGTCATATGGGCAAACAACCCCAGAATGCAAAAGAACACTGATCGTTTCAACCCCCAAGTCATTTCCATCATTGAGGAGAGACAAAAGGTTGGAAAGCATATCCTCGAAGTCCCAATAGACATCAATGCAGGTGATCTCTCAGACGAGAAGCACCCAAACGATAGTGGCTATGAGAAGATGGCCGACGCTTGGTTGAAGGCAATCCTCGAGGCTGACAAACGAGGATGGTTGAAAACACCCACCAAGATAGACGCTGTTGGTCTTCCTGGCGTTGGTCTTGGTGTCGGTGGGGGAACAGGAGGCGCTCAAGAAGAAATCGTGGGTAAGATCTGGAAGAAACATGGAACTGTCTTCGAAGGCTTCCGGACATGGGAGTCAGTCGGAACCATCAGAGGTTCTGCTGAGAATTCCTCACGCGAAAAGGTCATTTTGGCTGATCTGAACGGCGATGGTATCGCTGATTACGTCCTTGCTGACAAGGATGGTAAGATGCGAGCCTGGATCAATGGAGGCAAGCCCAATGACTGGAAGAGCATCGGTTATATCAACCCAGACTGGAAGTCCATCACGGGCGACACGATCCGTCTCGCCGATGTGGATAACGATGGAAAGGCAGATCTCATTGCTCTATATGAAGATGGCGCTGCCAAGGTCTGGAAGAATGTGGACAACGGAAAGAAGTTTGAGTCCCTCGATTCCAGATGGGCAACCGGTCTTGCGTCTCGAGACAAAGTTCGGTTTGAGGACATTGATGGTGACGGATATGCCGACTATGTTGTCGTGTACGAGGGCGGCGCTGTCAAGTGGGCGCGCAACACGCACAACAATGGCAAGGACAGCAGCAAGAAGAACTGGGAGACTGAAACCACTATCGCCCCGGGACCAGCTGGTATACCTCAAGGCTCTACCAGCATCCGAGACATTGATGGCGATGGAAAGGCTGGTGAGTGTTAAGTATTCTGATAGGTGCACTGATATACTAAATCGGAGCAGATTATCTTGTCATATATCAAGGCGGCGCTGTCAAAGCGTTCCGCAACACTCTGAAAGAAGGCGGCCGTAACTGGGATGACTTGGGCACAATTGCCCCTGGCATAGAGGGTGTGACAGGCGAAATGATCCGTTTTGCAGACATGGACGGTGACGGCTTGACTGACTTCCTTGCTATTGCCGACGATGGAAGCATCCGTATGTGGAAGAACCTTGGTATCACCGGAACCAAAGGCCAGAGCATCCGCTTCGCCGACTTGACAGGCGAAGGAAGGGATGACCTAATCTCTGTCGACTCTAGAGGACGAGCTCGGGCTTGGATTAACAAGGGCGACAACAAGTGGGAGGCAATCGGCGAGATCGCGCCGGGTTTTGATGAGGATCTCTCCGACTCACGCATCGAGTTCATCGATGTCAACGGCGATAAGCGCGCTGACTACTTGATCATATACGGCGGAGGAGCTGTCAAAGCGTATCTCAATAACGGAAACCTGCCTGATCCTGGGGATAGACGCATCTGGCAAGATGGTATTACTATTTCTCCAGGCGTCGGTGAACCAGGGAGCAAGGTCCGGTTTGCAGACCTTGATGGCGACGGGTACGCAGACTTCCTCATCCTCTACGAAGGCGGAGCAGTCAAGTACTGGCAGAACAACAAGAACATACCACCCAGGAACGGCGGCCGCATCTGGAAAGAGGGGATCGTTGTAGCCACTGGCGTTGGCGAGCCCGGCAGCAAGGTCCGGTTTGCGGATCTCACAGGAGATGGCAAGGCAGACTACATCGTTCAGTATGATGGCGGCGCTGCTCGAGGGTATCGCAACAATGGCAAGATTCCGATTGGTGAAGGGCGCAAGTGGAATGACATGGGGACTATTGCAGCAGGCGTCAGTCCCCAGGGTCCCGTCCATTACGCGGACATCAATGGGGATAGGAAGTCTGACTATCTTGTTGTCTTTGATGGGGGCGCGGTTAATGCGTATCTCAATGATCACGACTGGGCGCCGAAGCTGCCGGATAATCCTGGTCAACCTATTCCTGTCGAGCCTGGTACTGGTGGAGGTGGTGGAGGAGGAGGTGATGGCGATGGCAGCGGTGACGGAGGTAATGATGAGGGCGACGACGATGGAGGCAACGGCGGAGGTGGTAGCGGCGACGGTGACGGTGATGGAGGCAGTGACGGAGGCAACGGTGGTGACAAAGACATTGTCTACATTGATCCCAAGATCTGGGACTCCAAGAACCCTACAGCAGGTTGTCAACCACCTTGTACCCTCATCCTCCCGCCATGGCCACTCTCATCCAAGACGACGATCAGTTTCCCTGTCATCACTGAGACCTTCAAAGAGACCTGGCCGGAGACTACCAGCGGCGTTACCAAGTACGGCACGACAACCATCACTGTCAAGATCACACTGCCGCCTCTTGTAACTTCCGAGATTGGTGTTTCCAACGTGATACTGACAGACTCAACGTCCAAATCTGTGCCTGTACGCGGCAGTGTTATTCCATCCCCAGTCACATTGACCGAACCAACCCACGGCATTACCTACACCTACAAGCCCGGACCCCTTCCGACTGATGATGTGAACATTGGGCCTCCACCAGGCATCGCTCCGGGTGTCATCATCACCGCTGGACCACCTGGACCCATCTGCAAGTCTGGCTGCGGTAAGCCATGTTTGTTCGGTTGTGCCCCAGGTGGAGGTGGAGGAGGAAGTGGTGGTGGCTCGATCGGGTGCATTGGTGGAGGATGTCCCGGGCCAGGGGGAAACTGTGTTGGACCTGGATGTGAGAAGAACAATGACGATGATAATGATGATGACGACGACGACGACGACGACGATGATGATGACGATGATGAGGACTGCGCTACAGAGACGAACACCGAGTGTCATCAAGTCTGCACGACAAAACCATGCGCCACTGTCTGCAACACATATCTCGGCTGCGACTGCACAACCTCTCAAGTAACCGACTACTGGGTATCCTGCGAATCTTCCTCATGCACAACAACTTCTACTGAAATCATTACCGGTTGTTTCCTCACAGCGACAGCAACAACTACCGCTGCCTCTTGTCCCCTCACCACTCTCGACTATAGTGATGACCTTGGTGATGATTACAACGGCGTCGGAAACTGGGGCTCGACTTACAAAACAACCTTTTCAGCAAGCGTGGTCGTCAGTTCAACGCCGTATCCTGTTAACGATGGATATGCCACCGTTGATAGAACTGCATACCCGATTCCTGATGTCAAGTCAGCCACCAAGACCAAGATGCTGGGGACTTCAGCTATTATTGTGCCATCTCATGTCGGCAATACTATTTCCGTCACTATAAAAGGCGTTTCCTTTGTCACCACGTGGTATCCGAAAGCTACGACAACAGTCGGGGAGTCAATGTCAACATCCACCGAGCCATCGGAGACGACATCATTCCCAACCAACACGGCCATCACCGAAGCAGAAGCCTACTGCTTCGAAGGTAATTCAGACTATGTGGAGTTTACCCTCAACGAAGCGCGGCAGGTTATAGGATCATTCTGCGACTCCAGCTACACTCTCGACCCTGACAACACATTCGGCCAGAACATGGCCCTAGAAGAAGATGGCTATACGGTTATTGTGTCAGCCAAGTGGGCGCCTGATCAGAGCGGCTGCGGAGACAAGGAGGCTTTCTCCTTCGCCGAAGATGACTGGAACCATGGTCTGTGTTTGGATGGCTGGACTGCTGCTTTTTCGTGCCCAAACGACGAGGAGGATCGGCAAAGCAGCTATGGAGGGGCGTATGTTCTTGATCCTCCCGAGAATGGTGGCTGTCTTCTCTTGAGCCTGTATGCATACGATACGTCGACTATGCGGCTCAAAGCTCTACCAAAGGGGTCTGAGTCACTGATACCGCCGGTGGTGAATGTGACGCATATGGGAGAGAAGAAGGAGTGGATTGCGAATGACAAGTTTGATGGTCGCAGAATGTGGCCAGTAGCTGAGGGTACGACACAAGTGGGCAAGCCCTCGACTACCGGTGAGGTCAAAACTAAGAATCTTCCATGATAACATCGTATAGAATCAGTGGGTTCTTTTACACCTAGTCCATAGGCTTATTTGTATACAATATTATTTATTTCTCCTGCAAGCTTCACGCAACTACATGACTTGTCAATCGCCCTAAGCATTCTTCCGCTCCCTGTCCCTTATATACATTACTGTCTCGCTCTGTTTCAAGACTAGTGTGGGAGATGAGCGTCCTTGACCAGTTCGAGACAAGGATGAGTCTCTCATTGCACGCCTGACTCTCCTATTCCTAATCTTCCGCCTGATACACACCCAGCAGCAACCGACAATCATCAGAAACACGATGATGGGGAGTCCAATCATGAGAAACCACACAGCCGAGGTGCTGATATACCCCTGGCTCTGGTCAAACCTTTCAGTCGGGCGGCTGTCGTCAGGAAGTGTCTCGCCTGGCTTCCAATGCGATATCCTCTCACCATCAGTCAACGTGAGAGGCCTTGGTGTGAGATCAGACCTCTCAGACGAGCCCCAGGATATTGCCCAGGCTTGGTGAACCATGAAAGTGCCATCCAGCGCGCTAGCATCTTGGTAGCCCGACAGTGTTGTAGTCGCCGTGCTGTGGCCTTGGGGCATGCTTGTCGTCGTCTGGACCCATCGTCCACACCCACTAGTAAAGAAGTCTTTGGCAACGTAACCACCTCGATCAAAAGGATCGAAAGTGAATCCATTAAATGGTTCTATTAGTCTCTTTGCTCTAGGGGTGTAGGATGCTCAGGGGGGTGGAACCTTTCGCAACAGTATGCTGTCGAGACTGCTGGAGAGCCTCCAGAACGGGACATTTCCCAATAATCCCAACCAGAAGGACAAACAGCTGGACTAAAGGTGAACTGAGAATTAGCCTCGCCACTCTGCCAGCCAGAGGGGTAGCATGAAGTTGGAGGTGCTGATATCAGAACAGGATACGTAAAGGTGCCATCCTGAGTCCATAGCAGGCTCGTCGGCTTCCAATTGGGCGTGCAACTACTTGGTGGAATGTACGGTGTAGTAAGTGCGGCGCGATCTTGTGCAGAGGTTGCCGTAGGTGTCATTTGTGTGACATTTGAAGACATGGCTGATGCTTGATCTTCGGATATGTAAGCGCTCATGTCCAACCTTTCATTTGAGCAGTATGAAAGGTAGCCAGGCAACGAACCCGATGAGGGGTATAAATGCTTCGCTACTCTTATTCATGAGACTGGTCTTGCTGTTCGTTCGACCTTACACATCCTTGCGTAGACAGGCCATGTATTTAGCCGGCTAGCCCAATGAAGTATCCTACTCGGTCCCTTTGCTTCATCATGCACAGGGGGGGCATGATGCGGCTGTGCTGCGTTACGTACGTAATGTCCAACTTTATGCATCTGTTTCAGAAGTGTTGGTTGAGTTTCACCAAACATCGGTGCTGGTTGCGCTTTACAGTGGTCTTGGTACAAGGGTTCAGACGTTTAAACGGGAATTGAGAATGGCAATGCTAGATGAGATGTGTGCTGGCATGTAAATAAATGATGCATGATAGTAATTGGATCGTCACTAGTCATATCGCACGTACAGAGGGGGATGTTGAACATCGGGTACATTTCCTTGCTCAAGTCAGAAGCGTTCAGTTCACCGGGCTTGCACGGTATTAATAAGACTAGGGGAATGTCGACGACCAACACGCTCAAAGAATGCTACTTAGGTGTGCTGAGGCGATCCCTGTCGTGGCTGGGAAATAGGGACCTTTTAGTGGGTGCTGGAGCAGACATTCGAATTAAGCTTAAAAAGGTACGTGACTGGGGAAGTCTCTTGGCGTTTAATTTGGGTATTAACACTTTGAAGGTTGAGAGACCAGTAACAGAGAGCAAAGAGATATAGTATTATACCTTGGTGATTGAATTGTTGTGATGTCACTGTTCTTCTCTCCTAAAGACTTTAGCAGAGCCGCGGCTCGACACGCACAAAACCCAAGGTTAGAGAATGGCTGGAGCACTGCCAGGTCCAATAACCTTGAGTTGCACTGAGACAAATCGAAACAATTCAGCGAATGATGCATTCCTAATTGGTGTCTTGATGAGCCAAGCTCGGGTGGAACAAAGCGGGATCTCCACTGTTGCCCGAAACTCTGGGCATTCTGATCCTTCATCAACCGACTCTAATTATCGCTTACCAAGTTCAAGTCGTGACACTAATATTCGCCAATCCAATTCACAGCCTCAACTTCTCAAGAGCGAAACCTACCTGATCTCATGCACTGAGTCGGACAGTGCAATCGCTACGATGCCATGATTTACAGGGGTCTCCCCCACCGGGCTAAGATCAATCGGGGTTCCATATGCAAGTGACCCTTGCTTAATTTCCTGGGATGGCCACAAGGCTGAAAATTCCCCCTTCTCCATCACGATACGCAATTAACACAGTCCTGTCGCGCTGCCATGTTCAATCGAAAGCGTCGCGGCGTCACTGACGAGGAGCGGCTCAGCAGTTACGAACTTGACTGGCCAACCTCGCAGCGATGGAAGCCAAACTACTCTGTCCCGCGCAACTCGCTTGAGTATGACCTCAATGCATCACGCGACTCATCTGATCCAAGCAAAGAGCCCGAGAAACGACCTAATGTACCGCATCCGATGTCTTTCGGGAGTCGGCGCGACATGGATACCTCTGCAAAGGCCATTCGGCAAGGAGTTCTAGACCAGGGTGCCGATGAGGAGGAGTTCTCTAACTTGAAGCTTTGGATAGAGACAATGTCCGAGTTGTACATGAACGATCTCGATAATCGGGCTCGGTGGGATCCACGTTGGCTCAATGTCACTCGCAGAGAGCGCTTCGAAGGGCTGGAGTCTGTCGCCATTTCAATTGTGGACTTCTTCGCCAATGAGACCGTAGAGAAGAGCGAACTCGTCACCACAAAGAAGGATCTCGCGGTGGCTCTCAACTCGAGACCGGAGAGCTCCCAGGTACGAGTCATTATGGTCAGCGATTTGAGTCGCTTCGTCATGGGTGTGCTGGGGCAATTATATTCAGTAGATCCCGAATTCTGGTACGAGCATCTTATCGCCTCAGGGTACTGCGCAAGCGACAGTGGTCTCAAGTTGAAGAACGCAACGTGGATGAACTGGGCCGAACAAGAAACGCGTTTCCGTCATCGTCCTCTCCCGGGGATCGGTCAGCGAACGGAATGGAACCTGTCACGGAGAACCAAGACTCGTAAATGGGCACATCTTCGTTGGGGTCGGCTTGGTCTCCTTCATTACCTCGGGCGCAAGGGGTTCTACGAGGATGAGATTGCAAAGCGCATCTCTGATGGACGTTGGACGATTGAACGAGATGTTGTTCTTGACAAGTATGGGCTACTTTTGACTGACAAGAGAAAGAAACGTGCAGAGAAGAAGATGAAGGAGAAGAAAGAGAAAGAGGAAAAGGCAAGAAAGAAGGACCTGGGTGCTTTTGATGTTCCGAAAACATCTGGTGGCCACGAGCTTGAAGGCACTTCGACAAGAGCTAAAACGTCGAATGTGTATCGCCCTTACAGCACGTTCCATCCTGTGCTACCGCAGAACCCAACATACTGGAGCAATCGAGATCTCAGAGTCATGGCCCCAGAAGGCTTGGGTTATTGGTCAAGTGTTGACAAGGAGGGTCGAAAGACGAGTGAGTATGTCGAAGGAAGACTGGTAACATTGGCTGACACACGCAGTCATCCTAGTCTTTGACCCACCGCGAACTATGCAGCATGACGAGACCAAAGAGATAACACCATCTCTAACATTCATGCCTCGAGCCATGGAGTTTGAGTCGTACACGGATGAAGAGCTTTGGCGTGTCGCCGACCCTGATGAGACATACCTGGATCCACCTCCGCCAACCTTCTCAAAGAAGCAATTGAAGAAGGACAAGAAGGAAGCCAGAAGAAGGCGAGCACAAGCTAGAAGGAATAAACATGAGCAGTCAATCGCGGTCAATGAGAAAGGCAACGACACCGCTTCAGAATACTCCAGCGACTCCGAGTTCGACGAAGAGTATCGAGAGTCACTCCGAAAGGCCTATAAGCATCGTCAACAGTTACTGCGCGATCGTGACTTTGCGCGCAAGTACTCGCTTTCCACTTTTGATCTTGTGTACCGATACATGAGCAAGATACCCACCAGTACGCTCAATCAGGACGATTCGATGATTCCGTCTATCCTCACGCGACTCCCATTCGATGATACGTGGCAGCTACTAGCCGAACTCCGTCTGATGCAGGATCATGTTGATGCTGATCTTGGCGCAGACCTGCATATTCATTTGCTTGAAGCTGCTGGTACAATGACAAGACAGAATGTAGCGTGGATAAGGTCGACTTTGCAGGAGCTGAGTGAGTGGATCGGCCATATCAGAAAGTCCAAGGATATTCTCAATTTACCTGAAGCGCTGGAGGAGGAGATGGCCGAGCTCACGGCTGATCTCCAATCCCTGCAGTCGCGCTCAGAACAAACGCTCAATCTCCTGGTCGCTTCAACAGGTATCGCCCAATCATCTCTCGTCATCGATCAAACGTCTGGCATCAACAAACTCACCGAACTCGCATTCTTCTTCATACCCCTGTCCTTCATCACATCTGTCTTCTCCATGCAAGTCGCAGAACTCACCGAATCACCGCCCAAGATGTGGACATGGGGTCTCTCTCTCGGTCTGGTCTTTCTCATAACCTATCTCATCCGCAGTTTTGTCCGCTCGCCTTCCGTCAGACTCTCAGCCATGCGCGTCCGTGTAACGATGCTTAACCGCTTCACGCCCAAGTCGCGGTCTGCATCGCACCGTCTCAATTCCGTCGGCAACCGTGCTATCGCCGGGTATATCTTCTTCTTCCTCATCCGCTGCTTCTTCGTCCTCGTAATTTTGACTTTTCTCCTGCTCTTCATCTTTCTTGTGCATCTTGGCATCTGGGCTGGCGCAGCTGGTACGGCGATGTACTTTATTGTCACGCGGTGGCCCGAGCCGGCAGTGCTGGCACCTTGCTTCATCGCGATTGTCCTGGCAGGCATTGGCTTTTACGCTACGTGTTGTTGGACTGCGGACATACAGGCGTTTTGGGAAAGGTGGAGTATTGAAGTGGCAGAGATGCTTATGAATATGTTGCCTGAGAAGTGGAGGTTTGATCGGGTTGAGGATGAGGATTTGGCGGATGAGGGTGTCAAAACTTATGCGCGACAGGCAATCTTTTTTGCGTCGACGTAAGATGCCGGGCTTGCATGAATGCTTGTGTCACCAGGATATTCTAGCTATGGGAGGACATAAAACTCAGTATCATGATACTAAATGACAAAAAGACTTGGGTAAATTTACACAAATTTAGGATACCTTTACTACCTAAATTTAGGATATCTTTTACTGAGTTTATCCTAATACCTTATATTAAGGTCTGGTATTTTCTTGCTCCTCGAAGGTCTGACTTTCAGTGGCCCTGCAATTCTCTGCGTATACATTGATCTGAGTGGCTGAGGACGCGGTTGCTGCAAACGACCTCATGTGCCGTTTGGCATAACCTTGCGCAGCAAACAATTTATGGCATTCGGCCCCGACAATGGAACAAATAGCAACCCCAACCTTTGACAACTCAGTATCGCGAAAAAGCTTTTTGGTTAAAGCTTATATTGGGTAGCAATAGCTGCATATTCACCAGGGACACATGCAATCATGGAAGTCACAATGTTTACGGGCTTGATTGACTGACAAACTGAACAGCGACGGGCAGTGGCATTCTTGCCTGCATCTACTGCCTTCGCCTTCCGTGATTTGCTGCGGTTAGTCGCTTCTGTGAAATGCTGCTCACATCCTTCAAAGTTCTCCCGCCTGATTTAAGCTCACTTCCCTTAAATCCACGCTGTCGTTTGCTGCAAAACTCTTCCTCTCCTTCATCCCACAACAAACAAACATATCATCGCTCAAACTCGTGTATCCTTTCAGCATGTCTCAGGACGATATTCCTATGTCTAAAATGGATCCCGAATTGTTTCACACCCCAAACACTCACTTCAACGACTATTCTAAAGAAATGGATACTGAAGAGCGATACGCAGTGGATGATCTTTGCGCTTCTTCGGTACGCGCCTCTTCTTACAAGCTTCTCTTTGATGGCGCCTACTCCGACATATCGATCGTCTGCGGCGGTCGCGAGTTCAAGGTTCATCGTGCTATTGTGTGTACGCAGTGCGGATGGTTTGCGGAGGCATTCACAACCCCGCCTAAGGTATGCTATCTCCCATCTATCGTATGCTCTCGCTGACTTGTCGTAGAAGCGCACGATTAGAAGTGTGACTCTAGATGAAGACCCCGAAGTGTTTCAGCATTTACTCGAGTTTCTCTACACTGGAACATACACTGCCCAAAAGCCTACGGCATCGCATGAGGCTGACAGAGCGAAGGAGATTCAAGATAGACTCGGCGGTTATCCTCGTTGCCCCATCGAAAAAGACACTGCTAAAGACAATGTGCCAGAGCGCCCTGTAAGACGATCAAATAGGTTACTGTCAACTACACCCGCCCCGGCACAGACCCAACCCACAGCCAAGTCACCCTCAGGTTCACTGCACGAAATAATTCTCGCTATGAATCTCTGCATCATGGCTCACAAATACAACATCCCCGCTCTTCAGCTCCTCTGCCAAGATCGCTTCTACACGGCTGCCAGAAACCGCTGGGTCAATAAGACATGGACCGACTGGGAGGCTACCCAGGAGTTTGAGGACGTTGTGCTGGACGTCTTTTCTTCTACGCAAGAGGTTGATACTCCGTTGTGGAGAGCGCTGTGCAAGTTGATTTGTATGAAGAAGGATGGGGATCGGATGAAGGAGAGGATGATGGCAGTCAAGGGGGAGCACGCTTATCTTGTTGAGGGTGTTTCGAAGTACATGCTGGAGGCTAGAGGCTAGAGGCACGAAACCCGAGGTAACGAGTCTAGATGATGGCTGGCATAGCGAGACAGGATACCATAGCTTTGTTTGACGCTTGGTTTGGACTATTTCAAAAGATAGACCAAGGGTTCGCTTACGAATAACATTTTTAGAATTTGACATGCTTTTAGTTCGGTGATTGCTTTGCCTAGGGCTAAGGGTTCATGCGTATGATGACAAAGTTCTCTCTGATGTTTAAGCTCGCAGCCATCAGTCTCAACTGCAAAAATTACATCTAGTCATAACCAAGACATTATGCCACAATGATTGCCACTTACTATAGGATAGGTACAGATAGAAGTAAATCTAAGAGATGGCTCAGCCTTTCACGGGTAATGAGATTGGACCAGTTTAATAGCCCTGGCTACCAACTCCCGATCATTCTGAAAAGTCAACATTTGCAGAACCTCCTCATAGCCATGGCACTCTACCTCAAACCCATCCTCACATTTCTCAATTTTGTCATTCTCATTCACAGCTGCAATATACCACCAAATGATCTTCATATCGCCCTCACCGATCCTTCTCATCTGCACCGAAATCGGTTCACAGACATCTTCAAAAAGACGCGCTTCATCAGGGGCATATTTGTCGTCAGAAGAGCAGAGGCGAGATTTCATATTGATGGGTAGTAAACGACAGGGCATTCCTGTTTCCTCAGTAGTTTCGCGGATGGCAGTGCCGCGGCGTGACTCGCCTATGTTGCGACGTCCTTTGGGGAGGATGTATTCATTGCGCTTTACATCGAGCATGATGCATATGTCTTGTGTTGAGAGTCGGAAGAGGATTGTCCCAGCGCTCTCAACCAAGTTCTCGGATGTGAAAGTCTCGGTTTGGTAGTGTGAGGTTGCCATGGCTAGGATTGTCTTGTGAGATAGGATGAGCCGGAGCTTACTTCTTCTGAGTGCTAAAGCGATGATTTTATTTTGCTGGTAGACTTTTTGAGTTATAGGGTGAAAAAATGAAATTGGAATTAAGGGAAGAGTAGGAGGTGAGATTGAGTTTAACGTGAGTTTGGAGTATGAGTGAAGTGGGGCTTGAGGTTAACTGGTGCAGCCTAAACCTACAAATATTCTTTTATCACAACAAGCCTCCAACGACACGGCATTGTTTGCCATAGGGTGATTTTGACTCAGTATTCGAATTTAAACATTTTATGTTGTTACATGCATAATATCCATCTCACTTGAATTATCTAAAGACTTATAACTAAATTTAAATACAGAATCCCCTTTTGCCAGTTGAGCGCCTACAGATGTGACAATTAGTATAAGAACGACAAGTAACATCATAAAAGCACCGAGGGTGACTGCATTGGCGAGTGGGTCCAGGAATCTCTACATCTCGCCTCTTTGAAGTCTCTGTCTCTGCTTCGACCCCTATATCATTCTTTTCCAACTCTTTGATCAAGCTGTCAATCTGTTTGGTCATTTCCTCATCTGTCGCCAGAACAATTTTCCCATCGACTTCAATTACATTACCACCGTACTTTTCGACAAGGGCTGTGTCGGGATACTTTGCACCCATTTCATGAAGCTGATCCCAGTCTGTGACCCAGATGGCATCTTTGGGAATCTCAACCGTGTACTTAGCGCTCACAAAGCTACCAGTAAGCAGGACTTTGAGAAAGGAGGACCCTGTCTACTAATTAACCCTCGACTCTGGCTTTACCGCGGTTAAGAGGCATGACTATACCGGTTTTCATATTGATAGAAGGTAATTAGACTTTTCGATGGTTGTTGAATACAATAACACCAAGTAGATTTTTGTCTGGAATCACGAAGGATACCCTTTGCCTTTTGCAGCTCTTATACCTGAGATTCTGCAAGAATCACATGTCAGAGAGTGCGTGAGTATTGCCGTTGGGCCCGTTGTTGGTCTGTTGGTCGATAATAATCAGAGTTTACGAGAGTTGAGGACCAACATGCATAAATCCATGCTAAAAAGAAGACTCTGTTAGAAAAAAAGATACCGCAAAAATTGAACAGACCGTTTTCCCAGACAAAAGCCTACAGGTTAAATTAATTTTCACTTCATTTCATCTGGTACTGGCCCGTAGAGAGCCTTTCAATCAGTACTATAGCACCAGTATTACTATAACAAGATAGTGCAACAATCAATCTTGTACAACGATACAAGGGATACCTCTACTAACATATAGGAACTACCTGCACGTGGTTACCTATAAAACGCGGATCTAACGGATCAGGTTCGGAACTCGGCACGCCAAGTTAGAGAATACCACCCGTCTTGAAAAGGCGCAACAGTTCTAGAGCCTACTCATTCAGCCAATTAAAGAACCAGGGTTCCAACTCATACTACGTGACTATCGCATGTTATCACTACTGAAATCCGGTTTATTTAAAGATAAGCCAACTCCCATGTTGGGCCTTTTATCTCTCAAGATTCACCGCCATTTACCATTCAACAAACCATTTCTCAATCATGTCTCAATTTGGTTCGGAGCATCAAGACCCGGCTGGAGCAACTTGCCCCGGCATTGCATATAAAGATCTTTCCCCAGAACAACAAGAAATGAGCGACATTCTATACAAAATGGAGCAACATGACCTAGACCTGTTAGGCATTGTACACCTCGGCCGTGACGGGGTATTCCGCTACCTTGATGCTGAGCGCAATATCCACTATGCAATTGCTCTAAGGCCTGCGTTGATTAAAGCTTTATTGGACCGTGGCCCTTATGATGGTGAGGAGGAGACAGTCTTTCGCGGAGTTGATGGAACAAAGGTTCCTAAAGAGCAGTGGTATAATCCACCTCTGGGTATACTTCCTGAACCACTATCTGAGGAGCATCGGAAAGAGGGCCGAGAGTTTATTCAGAAGAACAAAGATAAGATTGATAAGAATCGTGAGGCATCGAAGAACTACAAGGACCGTCTTGTATATATAGAGTCAGATCATAAGCTTGGATAAATATACTGTCGTTTGTAGTTGAGACTCGTGGCTGAGTAAATCAGCAGAGAACTTGGTCGCCAGTTGGAGAGACTGATATTTATACAGAACCCGCCGAATTCGTGTAACATGCACAGATACCAGAAATTTGCAATTATCTTTTCTTATCGCCAGATTGACCGCTACATTCGATGAAAGTCTTAGCCCTATCCAACATCATAGTAGTGTCGACATGACAGACATAAAAAGCATAACAAGAATAACGTTGATATATTTGTACTAACATATGTTTTTCGGATCTATCTATTTACCGAATGAAACCCACTCTAGATAAAGAACCAAAGGATGGGCCAACAGTGCGAGCCAATATATCGAATGGAGATGCCTCGCCTATTGGAACTTGCCTGCCAATTCCATTGCCGCTTCATTTCATCTCAAACCTTGTCACCACCAACCCTACACCAACCCAAACCCCTCACTCAATCTACCCCCCAGCGTAAACAATCCAGACCCTTGACACATTCCCTCCCGCTCCGTGGCGATAAACTCCAACTCCTCATTCTCATACAAACCATATCCAAACTCTCTTTACCCATGCCAACCACTGCCGAAGGCGCCGCGTAGATCCCGGCGGCGTAGCCCATCGCCAAGACCGGCAGCCAGAAAAACTCTCCGGCCCTGGGCTGAGTCTAGAAGCATGCAGGTACAGCCGATCCCTGCCTAGTGCGGACATCCCGACGTCAGCCAAGAAAGACGTTGGGGCTGTAACGCGGATTTCTTGGCCATGTGTCACAAATCTCGATTGCCAGAAGCCTCGGTCGCACAAGGCACGCAAACACAATTGATGACAAACAATGGTCTAATGAATTGGTATCTATCATGAATGGTCAAAACACACGCTATAAATGAACTCCTAACCAAATGATCATGATGGACCTCTATAGTAATCCCTTTCCATCCCTGAATACTTCGTCATACCAGCGCGATTCAGTCTCCGCTTCATTACTGGCTTTACAGATCGTATCCCAATCTGTCGATCGCAATCCCCAAGCCTTTGTGTCCTTGTTCTTTCCAAATAGTAGCGACGCACTACCTTTGGTCTTTGCGCCGTATGACCAAACCTCCAGGTTGCCATCGTCGGCGGTAATACTCGCTAACGGTGTTGTTGTGTTTGCTGTCATGTGCGCCTCGATCAGGTTGCGCAGCTGTGGAAAGTACCACGTCTTATCCCACCATGTCGAGCGACGGGCCTTTAGTCCATCTCTCCAGGCGTTGTGGTGTATCGCAACGGGAACAGAGGTCGTCCAGAAGTCCACATACAGCGAAACGTCACCCCAACCGCCCACGTGGTCATCCAATTGAGAAAATGGAGCTTCAGCCTTGGAAATGTCGCTTGGCACACCACCTACGCGAGGGGGCGAAACGCCAGCTTGGCTCGACTCCTTGGCAATCGTAGAGGGATCGTCAAGCGACACGAAAGCACCGGCGTAGTCAGAGTAGCAAGTCGGGTAGAACAGTTCTTGTGTGTAATCCAAGCCGACATGGTACTCAAATTCGTTTCGGGCAGAAAGTGCCGCCTCTTTTCCAGGGTTGTCGCCAGCAAAGTCATCCTGCTTGATCTGCCGGCGCCAAAGTTCCTGCTCGCCAAAAATCTCGGCAAAAATACCCTGGTCACCAGCAAGGTCCTCGGCAGACCTGACCTCAAGGAGATCTTGGTCCATGCGATCTTTGACACGCTGGAAGTATCGTCGCATGTCGCCTGCGGGACCCATGAAACTGCCACTGTTGACATACTTGGGGCGCATGTATTTGTATCGTGATACAGTATAGTCGGTGAAGAAGCCAAAGACATTCTCGGGGAGGGTGCTGTCGGGGACGTCGTTGCAGTAGAGGTTCGAGATCTTGTCGCGTGGGGCGATGCATCCCTTTTGCGCGGCGGCAATGATGGTCTGCTGCATTAATTCCTTGTCGAAGAAACCATATTCCTCTGCAATTCGTCGGTTTGCTCGCTCGTTACTGCTGTAGTATCGGTGCATCATGACGCTCGGAGGTAGTTGTAGCCAAATGTCGTGTGCGTCCAGCATGAGCACGAGATCATGCTCTCCCAGCTTCTCCTCCTCCGAGACTTCATCGCCTGTTGCCCATTCTAGGTAGTTGAGTGTACCAGTAATTTTTCCCAGCTGCGAAGGTCCAATACCGTCGGCATCGGTGTGAAAGTCTTTCTTCCAATTGACAATCACAGGCGCGGGATACCCCAACGCCACGGCGCTGCTGACAACCTTGCAGAGATCGGGACTCGAATCGTCGACGGGTAAAACGATAACAAACTTTCTTTCCCCTGAGGAGATGTTGGCTGGGGTGACTTCGGTTTCTTGTAATATCGGACCCGTTGGCCTCCAAAGACTATCATTATGAATCTGATGGTCAGTTTGAGCTTCAATCGAGGAGAGGGAACATACTAAGTAGTATACTGTGAACGTAAACGCAAAAAAGGCAAATAGTAAAGTCAGACCCTTCTTGACCCATCTCCAATTTGAACCGTTGACACGAAATCTAGGGCGAGGACGCGCAGCGCCAGGGAGAGCAATGTGTGAAGGCATGTGTCATGAGCAGCAAATGTATCTATAGTGAAGAAAGAGGGAGGAATGTATCAGGGGACAGGAAGAAACGAGGTTTTCGGATAGAAATGTCAAGCCAGGGTTGAGGGAGAGACAGAAGTGGACCGTGGTGGAACAATATACCAAAAGAGAACTGACGAACGAAGGACGACGATCAAGAAGGATGCCACACAAAAGGAACAGAAAAGCAGGATGTTGAAGGGTTGAAAGTGGACAAGGCAGACACAGCCAAGGAGGGAAGACAAGCACAAGACAGTCCGGTCTGCGGCAGTCATGACAAGGTACCTTAGCTGCAGCTCTCTTCCCACTATAAACCGGGCTGTGGAGCACCTAATCTTATCGAGTCGCTCGAGTATCTTGTCGGTGAGAGGCTCATATTAAAGGTACATTGCGCCCTGCGGCCCCCAAGGCACTGTGAACACGGCATGCTCGACGCTAGCACGCTAATTCAAAACAGATCATCTGAGTGGGAGAGTCTGTGATTCGTCAGAGTTGCTGCTAGGGCTGGTGCCGTAACCGAAGTTAGCATTGGGACTTGCTGATGGTCGAATCCTCCAAGGCATTTCCCGGGTCACTTCGTTGATCTCCGTAAAACAATGAGAGCGCCAAAAGACAATGATGACCCTCTAAAATTCCTGACATGTTGAGTGACAGAAGACGTAAATGCCAGCCAAGATTGTCGTTCCAAGGTCATAACCTTGTTAATTTGCAATACCAAGCATTGGCATCGAGATTGCACCAAAACGCAAATCCCCGAGTTAAAAGGCTACCTGGGCCCAGAGACTCCACCCGCTAACCCGCGGCCCCCAAGTCGACGTACCACGATGAAACATTCCTTCTCAGCACGGCCGCAAAAACTCGTTCAGGAGATATTACAATGTATATCAGGGGAACATTGGTGCTGACGGGCTGTACCTATCACTTTAGCTCGATGGGCAGACTTTTTTTCTCAAGTAATTTATTACCTACAAAATAATTTAAGACAAGTAAGCAGCCCCCCCTGAGTCTGGAAGCAAGCCACGTTGAAGAGCCCAAAACGCAAAACACTTGACTGGCCAGAAATGAAACAAATCTGAGCCACCGCCAGCGCCATCTCGCAAGGTCTATCGCCCCATTGAGCCCTGTACATATCCAACATGAGATACTTTCCGGTCGCCAACGGACCCTTTGAGGCGCAGTAATTAATGCTTATTTCTTTTTTATATATCTTACCGGATGAGAAACGAAAGTCTGTCGCAGCCCGCGGCGATGCGAGAACCGGTTCCAGAACTGTTTTGGAACTGTGACTGCTACAAGGCGCAGGTGTTGATCAGCTAAAAATGACGACAGATCTTCAACGCCAGGGGAGAAAATTACAAGGCCACCGCGTAATGGGTACACGCGACCACTAAAACCGGGCACTTCCTCTTTGGGCGTGCCTCGCTGTTCTGACCGTTGTGTGTTTGGCTGCCGTGTTTGCCGCCCGTGGTTGGTGGGGCTTACTCTTCTTTTGGGGCTGAGCTGGACGGAGTCGGGCAAAAGTGTCATCACAAGCCTCTTGTTCTGATAAGAAAGGGTTCATAATCCTTCCATTCTTGGCATGTTCTTTATGTATGCTTATTATTGAGTCCTAGACATGGATCGTCATCCTTAAAGCTTCACTCGTAGCCGAGCTGGAGATGAGCATGGTCATGTGCTTGTTAGTACACGCTATACGTAAATACCCAATAAAATACGGAAATCCTGTAATTGTGATTTGTTCAATCGTCTGCTTGCAGGATTCACATGCATAGCCTCGCCCGATAACAGATGTCATAGCGAGATGGTGGCCTTGCCACGTATATTTGTCAAATTTGGGTAATAGCCGAGCTTTCAGCTTTGCAGCCGAGCAACCAGCAACATTAGCCGGTGCCCAGCTCACGATGTCAGGTATTTCAAGTCTCGACTGCAGGATAGAATTCCTCAAAAAATCCGGGGATGATAATTGACCATAAACGTAATAGGTTCCTTGGACGCCTTGAGCAATTGTTTTCAATATCCTTGTTAGTGCCCAAGTCCTCATGCACTGAATTCCAAATCTGCGCAGATTAACCATACTGCCATCCGCACAGGGAGGAAGATTTCTGATGTAAACCAAATAAACTGGTCTAAGGACTTCTAACAGGTAGTCTGAAGCTTGCAAAGACATGCCGAACTTTCCTAAGTTTATTCATCAGTCACAAAAGAGGTTCTGAGTTTTCATCCCTCCCCCATCATTCCTCCATCTGAGGCAAAAAGGGTATGTAGATGAATAGAATACTCCAAGACCCCAAAAGCGAAATCTCCATGCTTCATCATAACACTCCTCATCTTCTCCCTGACACTAGGCACATGGATCAAGGCTGCAACAAGCCTGCACACAATCTCCCTCATCGCAGTGTCTGCTGGTGGCGTGGTCTGATACAACTCATCAACCACGTCAGGAAAGCACTCAGCCTCTTCCCAAACGAGCTCTACGGCGCGGTAAAACCGATCACGCGCCAGAAGTCGGAGGGCAGGCACGTCGTACTTGTCTGCCATGACATACAGCCGAAGAGGTAGTGTCATGTCGTTGCGGAGCTCAGCGAGTTGCTTTAATCCTTCCTCCCGACTGCAGCTACAGTCTCCCACCGCTTCTGCCACATTTCTGAGCTTGGATTGTTCATCTGCATCACCGTCTTCCGAAGGACTACCCGTGCGCTCGTCGTATTCGTTGTATTCTTCATCTGGGTCGCTGTCGGAGACCCAATCTTTAATATCCACTTCTTTGGAACCGCACGTCGGCTCCTGCAAGGTCTGAATAACAGTTTCGGGATCAAGCAAAGCCGCTTCGGATGGCTTTCCCCCGGTGAAGTTCACGCCGTCGCTGTAATTTCCAGTGTACAAGAACTCAAGGAACCGTTCCACGACATCAGGATCATCTTCCGGCAGCTCAACACATCGCGACATAGATTCCTAAGCACTGATTAGTCTGACTGTCCGTGAGCTATTATAGTACCTTTGAAAACCTACTTTGTAGTTGCCGCTCATTGCTTTATCAAAGAAAGGAGACTGCGTGCATACAACAGCGCGGTGGGCTTTGAATTGACGACCTCCGCAGACGATGGTCATGTCTGAAAACTTCTCGCTGTGGAAAAGAGTCGATAGCGCCGTATGAATAGAAATTCCTTTGGATTCCTCGATGTAGTCATGATTGCCGTTTCTGCATTCACACCCTGATTTCCGCGGAGCTGGTGTTATTATTGGCGCTCGAGCGACTATTTCCTGGGCTGCTCGAGTTCGGCCAGTATCTCTGGGCGGAGGATGAGGAGGAGTTGTTGCCATGATCTTTGTATTATTGTGCCTGTGAGGCTCTTGGAGAAGGCCCAGCCTACTAAGCAGTTGAGGTTATGTTGTTGCAACTAAATGTGGGGCATTGCTTGATCGGCCACCGGCCCCTCGTTTATGCATGACCTGGATTGAGTTATGAAACATTTATGCAACATCAAACGATTGGCGTCCATATTCAATACTTCGAAAATGCAAAGCATTTTCTTTTGCTGGGACCTCACGAGACAAGATACGAGATACAAGCATCAGTTGCAAGGTCCATCAGATCAAATATCACTCTTTATCACACTCCAGGCAGCATGCCAGTTATCCACACAACCGCCCAAGCTGCTACTTGAGTCAATCATATTGACCTCAAGAGATTCCCTTTCCAAGCTATCCAGTCTCCCTCTTCTGAATCGTGAGGATAGCGTCTGCGAACTCATCCGGAGCTTCCATTGGAAACGCATGCCCGACGTCAACCTCTCTCCTCTCATAATGGCCAGAAAAGTGCTCAACATGTGCCGCGGTACCCCCTGGCTTTAAGGGATCCTGCCGGCCATCCAAAGTGATGGTTGGAACACTTATCTTGGGCTGAGGAGCTAAAGCATCCTCCAACTTCTGCAAAGCTGGATCGCCTTTTGCGTTACCGAAACAGAATCTATAAGCGTGAATGACAACATCCACAAAATCAGGATTATCGAAAGCGTCTGCAGTTCGGTTGTAAAAGTCTTCTGTGAAAGAAAATGTAGGTGACCACTGCTTCCACAAAATTCGACAGAGATCTCGTCGACTCTCTGTAAGACATGCCACTCCCCGTTCCTGTTGGAATAAATGCTGATACCAACAAACGCACTCCAAACTCGGTGCAAAAGGCTTTTGGTAACTTGAAAGATCTGCAATGTCGTAACCCGCGTACGAAACGAGTCCAGCGACACGCTCGGGCCAGAGTGCAGCTGCAACGCATACAGACATCCCGCCCCAGTCAAAGCCACCAAGGATTGCCTTTGCGATGTTCAAAGCATCCATGAGTTCGATGACATCTGAGCCCAGAGCTGCTTGTTGACCACTTCTCATCGTTGAATTTGACAGGAAGCGAGTTGGGCCATAACCACGAACATAGGGAACGACGACTCTTGCACCACTAGAGACGAGTTTTGGGACAACTTCATCATATGCGTGGATGTCGTATGGGAAGCCGTGATACAGAAGAACAGGCCAGCCTGATGAGGGGCCGTGGTCGTAGTATCCGACTTCTAGGGTTCGTGTCTTGACTGTTTTGAGTGACATGGTTGTATGAAAGTGAGAAATACTTAAATGAATGATGATATAATTTATGGCGCTATAATGCGTGGTGTTTTATTGTTTCTCTACGCCTTGTGGTTGGCATGTCTATCATTCCTGATACAACATTGTGACGTCAGATCAAGGAACAGTATTATTAATAATTTAAACAGTAAGCACAGTTCTACTTCGACCAACCACCAAAGTTAACGTTATGCCGATATATAAACAAAGAATACTCTCTTTAGAAATTTTACTCAAAATCCATCCGCTCTGGTCATTCGTTCAAAGATCTATATATTCACAGGGGTTTTCACGCTGGCGTTGTGTCCAGGAACTTCATTATTTCACTTCAAGCTCTTGAGATCCTCTGATATTTAGCAAACGAGTAAGGTGCGCGATGCAGTCATCAGCTATCAGGGTCACGACTCAAAGTGACACTCTCATAAACACAGTTCAAGTAGTTGCCCTAGGACACTTCAGAAAGACACACCAGTGAGTTTTCTTGAATTCCAGGATAAATCAATCATTGAGTAAATGCAAAAAGAAGTTTTATAAGCCTAAATGTGCCTCATGCAACTGAAAGAAGTCTTTAGGAGATGAGATCAGGCTGCATGTATCGACATGCTCTTCGTCGATAAGATCCAAGGAAATTTCTCCTCTCTTCTCTCCAAGAATCCCCAACAAGCTTGATAGACAAACATGTGTGGCCATCAGTCTCGTTCTGTTGCTGATATCATCGCTGGGTGCCGAAAGACCGATTGTTCAGCAATATGGCCTTCATCCTTCTCTATTTAGCAACGACACCTTTAACAATATCATGGACAGGTAGAAGGCTTATGAATCGGATGTTTCTCGCTACCTTGTAGACAAAGGCCTGTTCATGTGCCTCAGTCTCAAATCTGACCTCCATTGAATCTGAAACCTGTGACCGTGTTCTTTAGAGTATCAACTTCTACAAGCTTAAATTTAACGAATGGCGAAAAGACATCTTTATGAGTTTTAACTCTATTCAATTTTAGCTCGTCAAATGATCCCACTATCCATTGCTTTATGTTTACTCACTAAAAGTGTATCTACGTGATAGAAGGCTATTTTCTACATGTGATGTTTCAACGATTGGATCTACTTGTAATATATGGTAAGTTTTCTCAGTAACTTAGGCCGATGTAAAGCCAAATTGTCCATGAATGACGATTGGAGTTCCGACAGCATATAAGCTTCATGAATGGATGCCCATGATCCAAAACTAAGGATATTGACTTTCAAATTAATTCTCATAGAGATCACGAGTGAGTTAATAAATATCTCTCGAAGATCACTCAATAAATATAGCTGCACTTCTCAATATTCACGGCTCAAACTTGCTCCTCAAGTAACCAACAATCTCATACACCAACCAGCAACCATGTGTGTAAATACAATGACACACTTCACCTGCATATGGTGTAAAGAGCTCTACGACTCACGCATGGAACAGATCCTATGTCATCGTGCCCTGGGTACTTTTGGCTCCTGCGGAAAGATGTCGGGTGCGAACAAATCCGTTTATCACCTGTTTTGTCCGAACTGTCCGCCAGAGAAGTACAAGAAAGCATCATACCGGGATCCAAGATGGAGTTGGGAGTATGAGAAACGCAGATTCTGATGGTGTGGACACCCAACTTCTGCCATATTAACCTTCATTATTCTCCCACATCGTCCTTATGTGATATCACAAAGGGCCCTATCCTCAAGTGGTCGAGATGTTGAGAATTTTGTGTTCTCCGATTTGGCAACAAAGGAGAACTAAGGAAGCCACCTCGAGCAATCTTTGACTATGAATTTCTTCATCTTCACACTTGGCTAGAGACCAAGTGAAACAAATCAAAGATCTGCATGGAGCTGATGCTCTTTATTGCTATGCACTCCAAAACTCTGAGGCGATACATCATCCAGATTTTTCATCAGCTTACAACTTCAAAAACTTGCTACGAAGTTGGAAATCAACGAACTTGAAAGCTGCAGCTGCCTGGCTGGAAGGTCATCAAAACTGCTGGCTAAAAATATGACCTGAGATAAACCTCAGCCGCGACTCATTTACCTACTCTACCAGAGAAACTAATGACAAGATGGCATTGCGTTTCCTTCGGCTGACCTTCTCATTGGCTGGTTTATTCCTCGGTAGACAACTTTATTTTGATTGCAACTTTGACTTTGGGGTCTGTTTACAAAGATTTGATACTCAGCTTACGGCTAGAAATAATCCAAGTCAGTGAGGATCAGAGTGAGGATCAGTTTGAGGGTGGTGATGATCCTGCTGCGCCTCGCACAGCCACACTAAGGCAGCAGGACCAACAGAACTTGGTTAGCCTGGGCTGGTGTATAAAGCACCTGGAACCCACTCTGTTCTAGAAGGGTTTTGGTGTTCTTTGAGCCGAAGCTAGTGACGCTGTTCCCGACATAAACACCTGTGGACATTTCCACGCAACGTCAATTTACGTCCCCAGCACGATACTAGCACTTTTCATCATTCAGCATCGCACTCAATCTATAAAACTATCTCGAAATGTCTTCCTCCAAAGCCACTGAAATGCCCGAAAAGGCCCAAGACCTCCCCCCATCATTCCAAGAAACAATGGCCTCATCACCACCCATTTTCAAAACCCAATTCGCCTGCATGACCTTCAACATGTTTGATCGCATCCGTCTTATAAACTTCACAGAAGCAGAAGTAGCAGGCATCAAAGAAGTCGTGGCAGAGCGGTGGTCACCTGGTCTTTCACATGTGCAACCCTACGGGGAGTCGATGGAATTCAGGCTTCGCGGAAGACCTTGGTTGCATAGATCTGGTGGGAATGATGATTCGAGGAGGTTGATGCTGAGAATTCTGGAGAAGTTGTTTGGTATGGGTTGGGTGTTGCAGGGAGCTATGGAGATTACGCTCAAGTCAGAGAGCAAAGGTAAGTTTTCTAACTCATCTACGAACTTAGCTAACGTATTAGATTCCCTGATCTTTCGAAAACAAGATCCTATCCCACCGCCTTGTGACTGGATCTGCGTATCCTTTGACAACAGCGATAAACTGAAGATCGTAGACTCACCGCCCAAAGACCTCACAGATGCAATACTTCAAACATTTGGTCACGATGTGAGACGTAAAGAAATCACATCTGACCGCGTCAAGATGCATCTCGCAAACATGCCGTGGAATCCTTCAGGGACAGATACTGTGAAGACGAGGCTTATACTGCTAAAATTGATCGAGACATTGGAGAGATGTGGCTTCACGATTTATGCTACGATTGGGTCAAAGGGAGAGGATGAGGAGGGAGCGCAGGATTTGTTGGTATGTCAGAGGGTAAAGGGTTGGATTCCTGGGGCGCCCATCTGGCACCGGTAGATTTCTTTCTGTTCTATTTCAGCTTCTTGACCAGACCACCACCAACAAGCTCATCTGTTGGGACCCTTCGCTTCTTCTTATCCAAAAACAACTCCCGTCTCCGGTTCTTGTTTTGCTCGGTGTCGGCTTCAACCTTTCGGCGGATACACACCAGGATCTCTTTGAAAGTGATGGGTTTTCTATCTATACATAGGTTAATTAGCTATCAACTTCTTACGAGGATATAATACAGATTGCATGAATGGTTTATAGTTGATACCCCATCTAATGCGTCTGTATGGCCAAAACTGAAGAGAGAAGACTTACCAGCGGCAGTGACTTTGGGTCGGCCAGGGGTAGCGCTGGCAGGAAATGAGGATACTTCACCCTCGACTGGAGGCGGCGGGAGATTAGAAAGGGCCAAAGCCAACTCTGATGCCGTGATAGGAAGGGGAATGAGAGATACGAGTTGGGGTTGGCCATTAGGCCCAGTGATGGTGAGCGTCTGACCAGGAGCAGCAGCCATTTCGTCTTTGGGGTTTGTTGGAGAGATAGAAAGAGAGAGACAGAGAGTTTTGACAGAGCAAAGGAAGAGGAGACGGTTGAAGATGGGAGCTGGTGATGATGTAACACGTGAGATTAGGTAATACTCAGCACGGAGAGGCTTTTGTGAGGCAAAACTTGATGGCAGTGACGGGCTCTCCCTAGATATAAGGTCTCTGATTCACTGGCCTCCAAGCGCCGCAGTATTTTCAACGGGCATTACTCACCCAATTTCTTCACAGTCTCTAATCCAGTTCTTTTCAGAGCCAGATTCAACATCAGCATCATCGTCTTTCGTCCTCTGCCGTTTCGAGTTCTCTCACTTGGTCAAATTTCTCCCTTTCAAAGAAACACATTCCAAAGAAAAGATGAATTCTTCTACAGACATTCTGGCCACTGGCCGACAGAAAGTCACTGCCGCCAGTAAGTCTAGGGCGTTGAAGAAGGTACTCAGAGCTAATGTGTATATAGATGTACAAGCAATGTCGATCAGAGAAATTCTGATCAACATCCATCGCAAAGTCAGGCTGAATAGGAGGAGGCGAAGAAGGAGGATGTTGTTTGCAGCAGCCTCCCAGACTCTCTCGCCGTCTAGAAGACGCGAAGAGCCCCACCAGAAGACTTCGAGGAGTGTCGCTGCACAGCAAGATCAGGGCTGTTCGAAGCCATGTCAATGGCCGTACCTGCAAGCCATTGGAGGTATTATAATTCTTATATTCTTGTTAGCCCTGTACTAATCAATTAATAGAACCCCATCGCCGAAGCAGAGAGAGGGGTGAACGAAGAAGGAGGAGAAGAAGACGACACGGAGCCACCTACTAAGAGGCGTCGCGTGAGGAAGTAGATTACTGGCACACTGAGAATGGACTATCAAGTGTGCGAAATTCACTCCCAACTCCAAACCCTAAACTTGAGGATGATGCCTTGGTGAGTTTAGATCAGCTTATATGAGTTTAGACTAATTCACATGAGTTTAGACCAACTCATCTCAAATAGAACACATCAGGCTCAGGCTTCGCAGCAAAGAAGGCAGAGTAATTGATCTTGCCAACGCCAACCCTCTCAGATACTACATCCCTTGCCTCTCTAAGCAACAACACGTTACAAACATCCAATACACTGGTAGTTCCAAACCGACCCATATCCCATCGCGGATCTCCGGTTTCATTAACCTTCTCAGTACTTGGCTTCACGGTCTCATCAGGTGCTTCAGGCAGGCGCCTACGCTGCAGCCACTCTTCTTGAAGAATTTCATACTGCATTCTCATCGGATCACCATCCCAGTACATTTCCCAGCCAATGGGTGGAGGTGCAACGTATGGAAGACTGTCTCGAGACATAGCCACCAGGATGTACTTTACTGGAGAACTCTGAACCTCTTCGGTTGTCGACGGAATGTTGAGATTCTCAAGCGAGACGTTGAGAGTCAGACTTCCAGCACGATAGCCTTGATGGTAAAGGATACGCTGCCACGGTCGACGGTTGTTGGCTGACCTATCTTCATCGTTGGCTCCTATCTGGATGAAGTTGTCCTGAATAGGCGATGCCAAATACGACTCAGACGGCTTCTCACATAGGCGAACTGGTACTGCCTTGGCGCGAAAGTACAGAGTATCTTCGAAGGGTAACTCCACGATAGGCTCATGAGGAAGATTGATCGGAAACTCGAATTTCATGCCCGGGTACGCTTCGTGCACAAAGAGATGCTGATTCCGGTCTTCATTGTGCTCAACCGCCCATCCATGTTCGTAGCAGTCAACATGCAACAACGACCAAAGATCAGTCTTGTTCAATAAAAGACGTGAACTCTCAGCTTGCCGTCTCCTCTCATCAATTTCTTCCTGCGTTCTCTCCACTTGTACAAACGTCTCCATGAATTCGTCAACTGTAGCTGACTTCAGCCACATTATCATGCTAACTGGCGCATAACAAACAGCGTTATGGAATCCTCTACCACGATATGTAACGTGCCCCTGCCAAGCTGCCCAAGACCAACTGGGAAACAAAATTTTTCCATCTGGTGATCGTCGTCGAGAAAGAGGTTCTTTGGAATACCATAGAAGAGATCTTGTGAGAGCAAATTCCGGCATGGCGTGCCAGAACTTTGTATTTGTGCCCCGACGAATAAGGTCTGCAATACCGATAAAGGCATTCACGGCGTCGGACTGCCATGTCATATTTCTCTTTGTATAAGCATCAACAGCGTGAGCGTACGCTTCCCAGGGTGTATGCCCCTTGATGAGAGGTGCATCGATCGTATCTGAGCTCGGGATGGCTTTGTATTTGTATAATGGGGCACCATCCTCGGAAGCTTCGCCAGTAGTTGGGTCTTCGCCGACAAAAATCGTCATGTCATCTTCTGTTGCGAAGGCTTTGTTGATGTATGCGGCCTGAGTTGGATCCGACCATATACGAACCCACAAGTTGTGGATTCGAGATGTTAGTTGGAGATGGTCATTAAATGGCGTCATGGTGTATGAAATGGGGTCAGAGACAGGAACAGTATCCTCGAAGCAGGCTCCGTGGGGACAGACAAAGCACATCTGAGAGTCGGTGAAGTAGACTGATCGTCTTGAGAGGACTCGTTCTTGAAAAGTCCATGCTCTGGTATTCCACAGTCGATCTTCGATATCGAAATACTTCTGTCTAGCATCTTGAAGTGCGACGGCAAGAGTGATTCCTTGGAGTTTTTCGATGCTCTGCTCCTGTGATCGAGGGATACCAACGCCTGGGAGTCCATCGGTGGGGTTGGCGTTGGAAGAAGCCATGATTGTTAGCACTGCATTGGCGTAGATGGTTCCCATGTTAGAGATGATCCTAGCTTTGTCGTCCTTGTCATCTTGCGTGATGCACAGAGCGTCGATCCAAATATAACGAACACCGAGTTCCTTCGTAACTTTGATAGCATCAAGAATAGTTTGCGGAAGTTCGACGTTGCCCAGACCTCCGGGCTTACTGAGCTGGTCTCTTGTTTTGGTAGTGTACTGTGTCTGACTGCCGGTTCCCCAGACATAAGAAAGACAAATATAATCGAACGGTGCGTCGACCTCCTTCACACAGTTTTCAACAGTGTCGATGACTCGTAGTTTACCCATGAGAGGCTTGAGATGTTCAGTAGAGACAGTTTCTGTTGATTTATGACTCTTGGTGCACGTCTGAAGCCATTCTCTAAGGCGAGATAAATCAGCAGAGTCCTTTTGAACCACAAGACCCTGAAGAGGCTTCGGTTGGTCATCGACTGGTTCAACTGAATGTATCACCAGTCTTGAAACCTTTGAGCGATCAAGATCTGAGAATTCGACTTCCAGCCTCAGAGGAAACTCCAGTCCATCATCCAAAGTGCTGATGCTCAATTGCATCCCCGGCCAATCATCAGGATGAACATCGGCGAGTGTCCCACTCTGAATAACTCTCTTTCGGATCAGTCTACAGAAAGAACAATGACTGCTCTCATCCATAACCTTGGGGATGCCGTAAACTGAGATGCGGGACTGTCCTGGTAGTTGATTGCCTGGTAGCCCTCGCTGTGATAGAAGGACTTTGAAATCAATGTGTCGACACATATCGCACAGATATTCAGGATCTGTCACTTTAAGAACAGGCGGATCAGCGATGAACCACTCCTCATCACGCCCATCCGAGTCCTGAAATAGCCCCCATCTGCGTATAAACTGGTGATGCTTATACTCATCAAACTTGGCCGTTTCCTCATCTTTAACTTTCTCATCTGAATGTTCTCCAGATTCTTCTTCAACGGAAGAAATATGAATGCTGATTCGACCGAGCTCCTCATCCGTCATACCATCAACATCCGGCTTCTTTTCCTGTATAGCCTTATCAACATTCTCCAGACTTTGACTTCCCCTTTTCTCGCCAAGTTTCTCCCAGTCGCTGATCATAGCGGCGGTCTCTCGTGATTGTTCCAAGGTCTTTCCATCTTTTTCTTCCAGGGCCTTTCTGAGGACTGTTCTTGTTGTATGGTCGCGAATGTTTTTGGAAACGACTGATTTTAGATTCGGTGCCATTGTGAATGGCGTTTGTAGCGTGTATATTTGGATAGTGAAGTGAGGTAGGAAATGAAGCTTAAAGAGAATCAGAGGCTTTATCTAGTCTTATATCTGCCGAGTTCCGTAGGGCTTCTCCCTGCGGAGCGTAATCCTTGCATTTCGGGCTGGTTATCTTACTGCGCCACGGACACGGACACGGACTTCGGAATACTGAGGCTTTATGTCATTCAAGACTGCACAGAAGCAAAAATGAAACTACCCAGTGCCAAAGACCGGTATTTTCGAGGTTTATTATTCATGGACCCAGGTACTATAATATCGGACTTGATCAATTCACAAAGCTTGAGGGATCAAGATAAAGCAGCAGTAAACCACAGGGATCTCTAAGTTCGCAAGAGTCTGTGAACTGTTGGAAGTTCGGCCAGACTAGAATTCACAACCAAGTTTGAACTTCCTATATCTCATTAGCTTGTTCTATTAGACCCAAGATCAAGAGCGGTCTATTACTACCACCATGCCCTTGCGAATTCACATAGACCGTTTCTGCTGATAACTCTTCAGTAGGGCGTAGAGTGAAAATGTAGTATTATATAAAACACTAGGCGTTACTAGTAATCTCTGCCTCTCACAACTGAAGATAAAATGCTGTGCTAAATTCTACATATAATACCGTAAATCATGTTCACTTCTGATATAATGTCACCGGAGTGAGTATACCCCATGAAGCAGTTGGCTTCTAGTAAACTGTGCTAGCCCTGCTATACTTTCCAACAATATACACTCCTCTTAGCGATATTACATATAAAGCTAGGCCAATACTCTCGAGCACTATAACAACTAGACCGGCAATAAATGTGTAGGACTATAAGTTATTAGTAACTATAAATACACAAAAGTCAGAGGATTCTCTTACTAGTTCTGTGCATAGAGTTGCCCTAGTATAGCTCTGCCGGGTGTTCTGGCATGACCAAGACCACAGGTCCCAGTCACTCTGCAGCACTTCTTTGTCGATAATCAAGTAAACAGTTGCGGCAACCCAGGCTGCAATCACAGTACCAGAGCTGGCCAGCACGGCGACGGTATGTACCCAGCCGTCGCGCAATGACTGGGGCTATCCTGATGTTAGAATGGACTTTGAGTAGTATCTTCGTGAACTCACAAGACTGAGATGAGTTGCTATCGCTATTATCTGGACAAAAGATGCAAATACTGCAATTGCTAGCATTAACCAAGTCGAGAACATGTTAACCGGAGCCCGTTGAGTTCCCCGGCCATCCTCGTTTCTATCCACAGAGTTGGATGATTTTCCCCAAGTATTAACTCCATGGATAAGTACGCTCAGAATACTGAGATCGAGTAGAAGGATCAAGATGCGCAGGCAGAGTCTGATGGTATCAAAAGCTCCCCGGCGCTTATTCCGTGCATGGCGCCTCCTGAGGAGAACATGTTGATCGGAGGCCGGGTGGAATGTCTTCACAGGGTAGTCATCGTCGACTTCGTCATGAGGGTCGAACCGGTTCGAGTATGACTCGAAGGCAGATGATGTACTAAGGTCCATGACGGTTTAGTATTGGGTATTGATGTGACTTGCTTGGCTCGTGCTCTTCAAGTGAATTATGTGCGCGGGCCATCTTCTTATGCTGTAATGTACAATCAACGTCAACGAGAGCTTGACGAATTTTCGCGTGGTAGTATCCCGATCATGTCAGCTGCAATTCGGCAACACCGTACCTTGAGCCTTGGTCCATTGGTAAGCCAATCATTTAACATCTAGACAATGTAAGTAAGCTGACTATCACCCGTCATGATAAAGCTTGATCTTCTAACTACAATATGC